CCTGCTGGGATGGGTGTGCAGAAGTCACCGAGATGTGTGGCCTCAGCTGGACAACCGCACCAGCTGGGGGCTGCAGCTGGTGCGGTTGTCCTGGTTCCATCTGTCTGCCTCGGGGCATCGCTGCAGTTTCTCACCCTCATTATACATTTGCGACAAAGACACAGGCATTCTCACACTCATCTACTCATATATACTCACTCATAATGTAATACCTGAAATAACACAAACACAAATGGATAAATAAAAAAACATTCACATGAAGGAGGAGCCTATTAGATTCTATCGAGTTATTTTTGAAAAATCAAAATGTGTTGGGCACCAGCGAGCCATCACATCATAATTCTGATTGCAAAAGCTGCCCGACAGGACAGGATACAAAAATGCCCTTCACTTCCAGTGAAACCACATTTTTGAATCTCCCTGCCACCGCAGTATAAAAGCATGCATTCTGTAATGTCATCATTTCATTTTGAAGAAAAGTAGTGATATTTGACATTTTTACTATACCAGATTTAACCATTTCCCCATTGTAGGCCAAAGCATGACATTCTTGTATTTTTGCCAGTTATGATATGAAGTCATGTGACCACCAGGGGGCCCCAAGAGTAATTTATATGGAAATCAACATCTGATTCATCGGTGGAAACAGAACAGAACAGACAGGCTTTGTGTGTGATGGATGCATGTGTGGGTGAAGATGTGCAGGTTCTGCAGCATGTGACTTGGTGCCCTCTACAAATAGACGGGATCCACTTGCAGGTGGAAGAAGAGCTTCTTTTTAGACCTGTGCAGAACCAGTACGCATCTCTCTTTCTGCTCGAGCTGATGGCAGCAGTGACAGCATCTGTGTTTTCTGTGAGGGCAGGAGCAGAGGTCTGTCACTCTGCCACCATTGCTCCAGGTCTTTCTCCTTCTCTCATTACTAATGAAAGGTTTCCTCAGCCAAGCTGCAAGCTTATTGGCTGTGAAAGGAATCAAGTGCATAAACATGCTAACAAGAGTTTTTGTTTGAATACAGTAAAAGCAGGAGGCCATATTTATCCTGAAGACCCTCTGCAAAGATACATCTCTCCAAGACA